AAACTGCACAACAACTTTATTTGACTGTTTGAACTCGACAGAAGCTGAAACTAATGAAGATTCAACATCCAACAACACGGTGAAATGTTTTCATTAAAGAAATGACCATGAGAGAAACAGGCTGCTCTTATTTTGAAAAGATAGCTCTGTTTAACAGGTGGCGTCACCTGACAACAGAGGTCACAATAAAAGATATATCACTTGTAAAGACTTGTATTTTGTAAAACCTGCAGATTTCAATATAAAAGTACCTAATTTACTGATTTCTTACTGATTAAAGTTTGATATTGATGTTTAAATGTGGAATATATTTACATGAAACATTTATTAATTAGAGTTTAAAATTCTGTCTGCCTGATGATGATGATGATGATGAAGATGAAGATGAAGATTATGACGATCAGGTCCTGGGACTGTGTCTGGGCCTCTGGCGGTACTCAGGCAGGTGGTGAAGGATCCAGGCAGCAGGAACCAACAGGGTAGCGGCAAACACCAACATGACAAAGAAACTTTGCTTCACAGACAAAGAAAAACAACAAAACACAGACAAAATATTACAAATCAGAAATCATGAGCGGAAAGTTCAATGATTCATGTGGAGCAGCTCACACTCCCTAAAATCTCCCTGACAAGCTAAACCAGTCTCTGCCCTGGTAAAATACTGTTACTGGTCTGTAAATTTCTGCCTGACAAAAACCAGTTTACATTCAATGCCTAATAAATTTCTAAATTTAACTTTTGTGTGAATCTCTGTCACTTTCTACTGACCATTTTACACAAGTTCAGTATAACCAGCAGCAATTTTAGTGATTTGTAAATTATTCGGAGTAGTACAAAATTGTTCTCTGTGTGCAGCCTGACAAGAGCCTGCAGACAATACTCAGGGCTGAAGAACAAGCATCTGCATGTTTTCAATGAAATCATTTAGTTTTTATTTCAGCTGAACGCCAGTTTCATATAATGCATCATCTATATATATATATATTTTTTTTTTTTCAGTGCTAGTTGTAAATTACTTATTAGCTGGTTGTTGGTTAATTGTTATTTACTCACCCCGGGTCCAATCTTGTCCCTAGGAGGTTTGGTGTAAATCATCATCTTCGTGTCCTTGAGGATTTCTGTCGGACGGGTTAAGGTCGACAATGGGAAGCGCCCCATCATCCTCAGCACTCCACTCACCATTGTCATGGCAACCAACACCTGCACACTGAGATGCACCTGGTTGATTCTGATTGGTTGATGTTTGTTTGACGTTGATGTGCTCAGTTTGAGCTCCTGAGTCAGACTGAGGCTGAATCTGAAGAAGAAGAGGAGGAAGAGAAGGAGAAAGGAGGAGGAGGGAGTGGTGTCTGCATGCCTGTGATTGGACAGGTAATTGACTAAGCTGGCATTTTGATGAGCTGATAGAGAAGTGAATCAGACTGAGAGGATCAATAAAATAAAAAGTTAAAGTGACAGAAATGGTAAAAACGATCAGGTCTGAATTTACTAACAACACTGGAAACAACAGATGAGCAGCTGCAGCTCCACAATCCCAATAATTAGATCTGCAGAACACACAAGTGGCAGAGAAGAAGAAAGGGCCTGAATGAGTGATGTGACAAAGGATAAATGAGTGGGGGCCTGGCCTGTCCTGTTGCCACAGTATATTTAACTGTACCAGTGGTTTTAGTCAACAAGACGGCCTTTGTTTGTTCCCAGATACTGGTGCCTATGAAATTATTATAAGCCAGCTGGGCCAGCCACAGCTTAATGCAGATGCTGTGTGTCGAGCCACATATCTGCCCTTTGCTTGGGTGAGGGCAGGGTTCAGGATGCTTTGCGTTAAGGGCAGGTTAGGTCTGGAAAATGCAGGGTTCAAGATGCTTTGTGTTAAGGGCAGGTTAGGTCTGGAAAATGATGTTGCTTACTGTGGTGCTCTGACGGCCTGGCCTAACACCCCTCTCTCTGGAGCCAGATAACGGGTAGACATCATTTGACTTGTACACTGAGCTTCTATAGGAACGCTCTCCCAGTCTTTGGCACATGACAGATTATATGGATTACTGTTAAGTATGTAAATGGTGTATCTAAGCCGTCCCTGGTAGGCTAGTGGTTAAGGCGCAGCACTCTCACCGCAGCGGCCCGGGTTGTGTCAGGACGGGCATCCGGTGTAAAACACGTGCCAAATGTCAACATGCGAGTCATCAGTGTGATGATTCGGTTTGGTTTTCCTCTAAAATATTAATACTAGTAAGGTCTAGACCTTAGTTTGTAAAGTGTCCTGAGACAGTTGTTTGTTGTGAATTGGTACAAGGAAATTGAATTGAACTGAGTGAGTGATGGAAGAGACGGAAGATGAGTGAGTGATGTAGTGGAGGCCAAAGGGCTGGCATGTGTGTCTGATGTGCAGAAACAGACCAGCAGGTTCAAACCTGTTCAGCCTCAGAAAATATGGGAGACGACAATTTGATAACAGATATAAACACACACACGTGCGCAGAACAGACATGGGAAGGAACAGTTACTGCAGTACAGTACCGAGGCACTGTGCTACTTTATACATCTACTGATCTACTAATGTAATAACATTTCAAGTTGTACTTTTTGGTCTAACAGCTACAGTTACTTTACAGATGAACAAATGGATGAATAAATATTTGTACTCGTAGTACAATGAAATTCAGTTTGACTCTCTCAAGAGTCTCTCTCTCCATCAGCATTCACTTCAGTGCCATTTGCCAACACAGTGGAAGGAGGCCACCTTAACTTTACTCCCACACAAATCGATAATCTTGTTGATAGTACTGCAGCCTACTAAGTCAGAAGAGTTTTTCATAGCCTGGAAAGATAGTTTAATAACATATAAGAAAGCCCTTCGTAGTGCCAGAACCGCATTTTATTCATCACTGATTGAGGAAAATAAGAACAACCCCAGGTTTCTTTTCAGCACTGTAGCCAGGCTGACAAAGAGCCACAGTGCTGTTGAGCTTAACATTCCCTTAGATCTCAGCAGCAATGACTTCATGAGCTTCTTTACAAATAAAATCACAACTATTAGAGAAAAAATTGGTCGGACCACTCTCACAGCTCTCGCAGATGTGCCATCTACTACAATGGCTTTAGAAACATCTTTAAGACCTCATTTATACTTGGACTACTTCTCCCCTATAGATCTCTCTGAGTTGACCTCAGCAATTGCTTCATCTAAATCATCAACATGTCTCCTGGACCCCATCCCGACCAGGCTGCTCCAAGACGTCTTTCCCCTAATCAACACATCCATACTAGATCTGATTAACCTCTCTCTATTAACAGGTTATGTTCCACAGGCTTTTAAACTTGCAGTAATTAAACCTCTACTCAAAAAGCCTACTCTTGACCCAGGTGTCCTAGCTAATTATAGACCAATATCCAATCTCCCATTTATTTCCAAAATCCTTGAAAAAGCTGTTGCAAAGCAGTTATGTGACCACTTGCACAAGAATGATTTGTTTGAGGACTTTCAGTCAGGTTTTAGAGTCCGTCATCCAGCTGTGGCAGTTACTTCTTTGGACAGCAGACACCACAAACGGCAGCAGTTTTAATTTTGATCTCCTTCAACATTGTTTAAGTCAACCAGTAGATTTAAGGTTTCCTCTGTGACCTCATCACATTGTAATCAGTACTGTTGATTGACCCTGAAATATGAGCTGACTTGTTTTTGTGGTTCAGTTTTATTGGTTTTGTTTAAAAAGGAAACAAAGAGGACAGTAAGAGACAATGTTGCTGACCACTGAAACACACATGTTAAAAACAGGAAGTTCAACTTTAAGAAAATCCATAAACACAGGGCCTGAAACAGACAAAGAAATGACAGAAGAAAAAGAGGATGATCCCAGACAGATGAAGGTCAGAGGTCATTTCATGGCTAGTTGGATGTCAGACGTTATCAGTAGAAGTGTCCAGTGGCATCGACCCGTTGTCGCTTTCGACTCTGCTGCTGCTCAAAGAACTGACGGATGTCATCAGACGTCACAACCTATTAGACAACAGAGAGTCAGGCGACATCAGGACTCACAACCTAATGGAGATCAGAGTCAGCTCAGCAGGTCAAAGGTCATGACCAGGGTGAAACTAACCTTTCCTTCAGTTGCAAATCTCTGCAGGAAGTCCTTCAGTTCAGTTTTCATGTCATTGTAACCTGAAACAAACAAAGCTGCATCAGCAACATGGCTGAAAGAGCATCATGGGAGTTGTAGTTTTATCTATTTTATCCAGTCTATAGTAAATACCATGTCAATAGACTCCGTTATGACTTTTTAGTTAGTTTTTTAAGTTTGTCTGTAGCTTTGCTGCTGCCTATTTTGGCCAGAAACCTGTTATAAACAAGATTTTAAAGATGCAAATTCTTCTTGCTTAAACAAAAGCTAAATAAAAAATAAAATCTGTGCAACTCTTGTAGCTTTGTGTATAATACCTGTTGCTCTCATAATTTTGTGAACAGCTCTCTAGTTCAGAGTGTAATAATCATAGTTTTGTGTGCAATACTTGAGTCTTCAAGCATGTCTTAAAGACATAAGGACCTGGATGACCTGTAACTTCTTACTTCTAAACTCTGACAAAACTGAAGTTATTGTGCTTGGGCCTGAAAACCTTAGAAATCTGCTGTCTAATCATATAGTTACTTTAGATGACATAGCTCTTGCCTCCAGTACTACTGTGAGGAACCTTGGAGTCATCTTTGATCAGAATATGTCCTTTAAATCACACATAAACCAAGTCTCTAGATCTACTTTCTTTCACCTGCGCAATATTGCAAAAATCAGGAGCATCCTGTCCCAAAGTGATGCTGAAAAACTGGTCCATGCATTTGTTACTTCCAGGCTGGACTACTGTAACTCTTTACTATAAGTATATCCCAATAATTCCCTAAAAAGCCTCCAGTTAATCCAAAAGGCTGCAGCCAGAGTACTGACAGGAACTAGCAAGAGAGATCATATCTCTCCCATATTAGCTTCTCCCCACTGGCTCCCTGTAAAATTCAGAATAGAATTTAAAATCCTTCTCCTAACATACAAAGCCCTTAATGACAAGGCTCCATCGTATCTTAAAGACCTCGTAGAGCCTTATCATCCTAACAGAGCACTTCGCTCTCAGAGTGCAGGTTTACTTGTGGTCCCTAGAGTCCACAGAACCAGAATGGGAGGCAGAGCCTTTAACTATCAAGCTCCTCTCCTATGAAACCAACTCCCAGTCTCAGTTCGGGAGGCGGACACCCTCTCTACCTTTAAGATTACCCCCCCCCCCCCCCCTCTCCCTCCATCCACCTATCTGCCACCACTACCCGTCAATAACTGTGTCCTCTCTCCCTGTACCTTTCTGCATTGTCGCCAAGTGCTGCTCGGGGGGGTTGTTGGGTTTTTCATCTATAATAATAATAATACTTAGGTCTAGACTTTACTTTGTAAAGTGTCCTGAGACAACTTTTGCTGTGATTTGGCGCTATACAAATAAAATTGAATTGAATAGTTTTGTGTGTGACTCTCACAGTTTAGAGTTTAATACTCATTGGTTCTGTACCGTGGATGATCTCGAGCTGCTGCACCCGGTTCAGGTTGTCCAGCGCAGACATCAGAGGGTCATGTCCTTCTTGTTTCTGTTCATTGTTTTTCCCTTTTTTTTCATAGGCAAGTACGGTGTCCGACTCGTCCAACAAGAAGGACAGACCAGCTTCACAAAGACGCTCCTGAGAACACACAGGTAAAATAGGCAGGTACACACAAGTAAGGTAGAAACCAGTGAGTAATCGATGTTGTTTAACAGGTATCTTATGATTAAAGAAGTGATCTGTCATTTAAAGACTCCTGAGGACCATCGGGTGCTTTGTTAATCATTCTAACAACACGCATCAGAGAACCTGATCTACATAGTAAACAAATGATGTCACAATGATGTCATCGGTGCCTTGGCCAACTGAAACTCAAACAGGTGAATATTACCTGGCAGGTGTTACAAGAGCAGAGCTTGGCGCGCCAGCCTGATGGCCAGAACACAGCTCCAGATTGGATCCTTTTCTGACCAATCTCCTGCAGTTCTTTCAGTCTACAAGTAGGCTCCGCCTCCTCACGGCTCCGCTTACAGCTGGGCTCAATGACATCATCAACCTGAAAAATTAATGATCAGTCGCACAGGTCAGTGACTGTTTTCTGTGCAGATGTGAATAGACTGAATCACACATACTTTAACAAATACATGTGTTACAGAATTTCATTTATTCTTAATTACTGTCCATATGAGATTAATCATCAGTCTGGCCTCCTCTTACAGCTGTAAATTTAAATACTCAGCTTTCTATCACAGCAGTGCTGGAAACTGAAATATTTCTTTAGATAGTAATTGTTTGATAACAAATATTGATAAAGATAATTGACTAATTGACTAAGATCAGCAAGTAGAGTCATGCTTTTATTTGTCAGTCTGGTTCTGACATTAACCTGCTAATACCCTAATATTTCAGCAGAAATGCAAACACAACTCCTCGTGTTATGCTTTTTTGAACAGGTCAGCCTTGTTTGATGGGTTTTGTGTGTCAGTGGAGAAACAAGCTGTCTGTCCAGAGCAATACTCTGAGTCCTCACAAGGTCTGTAAAGTGCTGTAAACTCAGATTGATCATTCTATTGATCTATTAGTGACAGTCTGATAACAAGCCTTATTATAACTGGATGTAAACACTGTAAACATCAAAATGACTGAACCTTTAATAAAAGGTTTACACATAATACATCAATTTATTGATACAGGACCAGTTTTATTTTACAAGTTCTGTTTGTAACAGATGTTAATTTGTCAGTAATAAACTGCTGCAAATGTTCAGATCCATTCATGTTTTCTTGTAAATGTAAACTAACCTGTAAACAAACTAATCTGACATTTTATTTTTATTTTTTTAATTAGCTGATATGAGCATGTGCAGTACAGAGTAAAGATTACATCTTTAAAGGTTGAATATTTTACATTTTAATTCAAATCAGATTGAATCTCTGTACAATAGTCTTTAATGTTAGTTTGCTGCTTGTTATTAGTATTAAACACCTTCTGTTACCATGGTAACCACAGGTATCTGTAAATCTGCTCTTATGGAAGAAAACTCAGAAATGCACAATTTAACAACTCACCAATCCTTCTCTGTTAGAAAGGTTTGTGCTGGACTCTCCGCCTCGTTCCTCGTTCTCTTGTACTGGTGCTCCTGGAACTGAACAGGAAGTACATCACACTCACAGGAAGCACAACACACACACCCACACACACAGGAAGGATAAGTTGATTATTTACCTGCCAGGTGAGCAGCATAGGTCCAGAGGAAAGGGTTTTTGTTCATACAGGACTCACAGATCATCTCCTGCAGCTCCACACAGTCTGGAACTACACAGCCTAGGTGCTGAAAACACACAGGCACAGAAGAAGGCAGTGAGGTCATTCAGAGTTTTTATTAAGTTTATTGTCCAAAAATATTTATGTGAAACATGTGAAATGAACAAAGCCCTGCAGGAAAGACTGACTATTTTTATTTCAGCAGACTCACTGTTGTATGCTACACCTGTAACTTAGTTGACCTAAAAGCAGACTCAAACTGAGAAAAGAAAACTGTGGACTATGATGCCACAGCCAGCAGGTGATGTAGGTGACACACAGTTATCCATTTTGTTAGCAACAGAAGTGGGAGAGGTCACATTCTGTACACACAATCTCATCATGCAGACAAATTAAGATGTTTCCTCTCCAGTCAACAAGGAGAATGCAGGACAACTTAGCCCTCTCAGCAGCTAACCCTTAGCTTTGATAGTCTCTCAGCAGGTGTACCTCTGTCACCTGTGTCAGTGACTTTTTTGGGACTCACCCTGCCATGCAGCCAGTCCTCACACACCACACACTGAATCATCTCATCCTCCACCTGGAGACAAAACCAGCCAATCACAGAGAGACATAGCTTCAGTAAAGAGACCAGAGTACACCTGGTGGCAAGGTGAAGGGCAGGTGAGCACCTCACCTGGTCGTCTGGATCTGGATAAGGCCGGCTGCAGGTACAGTACACGCCAAAGAAGTTGTGACTGTATTTATTCAGACTGTTGACTTCATCTTTATCCTGAAACATGCACATTGTGTTGTGTTTCACACAGTGACCAGAACATGCATTGTGAGGACCACGCAGTCTACTCTTATTTTGAATAATACGGGAAACATCCTGCAGTGGCGGTAATGTGCAGAGCTGATGACAGTAAACAAACATCTTAGGCAGGTATTTATATATTTACAAGAACAATCTGCAGTTGTTTATTTACTTTGCTTATGCCATATTTGAACTCACAGGGGAAAGTTTACACTGAAGCTCTGTGAACTTCCTGTTTCCACAGTCACAGCGAAAATTCCTGTAGAAAATACAGAAGAAAAAAAAAGAACGAGCTTTGTTAATCAAAATGTTAGTCTGTTGATATATACTGTCAGTTTGTTTGCGACAATGTAATACAGATATATTTATACTAGAAATGTCTTGATCGTGTTTTTTGTTTCAATCCTGATACGAATCCTTCAGTATTGTGTAACTGCTGAGTCTGAATGACGTCTTCGTCATTTTGCTTGTGGTCGGCGTATGTTCATACGATGTGCTCATTATGCAAATATTTAAGACATGATGGTGGTGACGTTAAACCAATAACAGCCAAAACAGCCATGCAAGAACATACCCCCCACCCCCTGGGGGTACCAATAATTTGGAAACCTGTCTCTTAAAATATGTCTGGATCAGCTCCACTACTGATCCTTAGTACCAGCTCAGGGCATCTCTGATTTAGTCCTGTACTCTACTAAGGTATTGAAAATATATTAATAATGTATTGATACCGCATCAATGATGTATTTGTTGTATATGCTATATAAACAGGTGAGTGCAAACCTCTTAGTGTAGAGTTCGAAGAGGTCATGACCTTCGTGGCATTTATATGAACAGGCCAAACACACTCCTGCTGCCTCTCCTCCCTTTGGTGTGCAGGTGCTACAGGCATACAGAGCCTGGCGCTTTACATAGCCCTGAAAACACACACGTGTACATACACATCAACACACAGAGAACCATTATGTAGTTATATACATAGCTGTTCCTCTTATTTTTAAACAAAAATGTTCAAACACTGACTACTCTGTTCTAACTATAATGAGTGTTGTTACGTGTAAAATAATTTATTGAAATTTACATCCACCGAGCACTTTATTAGGAACACCTGTGCACCTGATGCAATTATCTGTTCAGCCACTCATGTGATAGCCATGTAATGCATAAAATCCTGCAGATAAAAGTTAGGAACTTCAGTTAATGTCAACAACAGAACAAGAAAGAATAGTTTATCTCAGTGACTTTAACTGTGGCATGACTCTTAATACCAGACAGGCTGGTTGGAGCAGACTGAATGGCTGTGGTAACCCAGTTAACCTTTTTTTTTTTTT